CTCCGATTTGGCCACAGGGGAACTCAGCATTGAAAAACGAGCCGGAGGTATGAAATTTAACTCAATCGGCGGTCGAAAAACTCCCCGGTGCGGCGGCGGGTGGCGACGGCCGGCTCCTCCGGCATCTGGTTCGTCTTCTCCGGCGAGGGCTGGTGGCTAGGGTTTTTGTGGTCAGGTGTGGGGGGTTTATTTATACCCTTTGCCTTTTAATCACAACCGTCCATCTTGATTTAATCTGGGCCGTTCGATCGCGATTTAATTTGGATTAAATCTAGGCCGTCCATCGCGATTAAATCTGGGCCGTCCGTGCGCGCGGGGACGCATCTGGGCCGTTCGATCGCGCGCACGCGGATCGCCCACGTGGCCCGTTCCCGAGTCGATGTGGCCTTGCCACGCAGCAGGTCCTGGTTGGCCAGGGCTGCTGACTGGGCCGCTGACGTGGCTGCTGACATGGCGCTGACGGGGCACAATTTTTCTAAATTGCGTTTTGATCCCCGGTTTCCGAATTTCTTTTCAAAAACACCCCCATAATCCAAATTTTCACCCCTTTTTTTCAAAATCAATTTCTATTAAATCCAAATAATATTTTTACTCAATTTTATCATTATTAATATTTTTATATTCACAAAGATTAATTTAAATTAAATTAAAATAAAATAAAATAAAATAGAAAAAATTATTTTGGGTGTTACATGATGTGTCTTGCAATCATTATTGTAATTCTCTTATATCCTCTTATTTGACAGATATTATTGTAAGAATTAATAATATCTTCTTATATAATATTCGTCAAATATATCTACTCATACCTAGTTTTGTAAACTCTTCATAGTTATATAAGAGAATATTATTGTAAGAATTAAGCAGAGAAAAATAAAAGTTATCTTAACTTTTTCAAAGATAAACTTTCTCAATTTTCAATTAATATCTGCTTGAGAATTGTTAAATTCTATCACTTTCATACGGATCACAAATAGATCACTCAAAATATAGAATCTCATATGAAATTCAAAACCAAAGTCACATTAGAAGAAAATTTGATCACATTAGATAATACCGAAATGGACCCGCTTTCTATATGTATCATTCTTCGCCACTCTCTCTCGCCCTCTAGACAAAATCCAGTAGAGCTGGCTTCTTAGTCCCAGCGAGCAAAAGGCGTATGTGGATCTTGGTTAAAACATTGTAAACCGCAAGATCTTCGTCTGGATTGTGAGCACCATCTTTATCTCTAGCTTCCTCACTAGCTTCATTAGTCTCATCATCAAGATGGTGTTGCGCCACCACCACATCCAATGCTCCTTGCAAAAACTACACCGTTGCTCTCCATAAGGCCCTCATGTTCTTCAATATTCAGTGTCGGGTCTAGCATCGGCCATGGAGAGGCTCCTAGAGCTAGTGTGTCTTGAGAAGTTCTAAACGGAGAACTTCCTGTTGTAAATCGACTAACCTCCAATGCCATTTCTTTCAGTCAAGTTATTGACCTAGCATATCAATCCAGGGATCACAACTAGAAAGTGGAGCCCTTGTAGTGGAGGGGCTTATTAGTGCAGCCAACACCCTTCTTGCCAATGCAGAGAGCATGAAACTTTCAGCTGTTCCAGGTATGGTGTTGACGAACAGCGCAATCATGACTTTCCAATGAGCTACTCACCGATCATGAGGTCGAAGAAGACCCTATGGTTAGCCCTCCTCCTAGATTATGAACAGATTTTGCTTTTATATAAATATATATATATATATGTAGATACATATATAGACTAAAATATACAAGAAGCCCCTCTTGATTTTTTCAAATCAGCCCTTCCATTAACAAAAAAGAAAATGTTCATTTCATGTTCTGTTTGAACTGTTTATTTTTGATAATGTGGCTGGTTACTTAGTATTTTTATACATTACTGCTAATACTGGATACACATAATATGCATTTTTACTTCTCTTATTTAAAAAAATTAAAAGAAAAATTAGAATTAACAAACAAAAGCTCTCGTTTTCCTTTAACTTTTGTTCCTCTTCATTCATTTGAGTGATCCGATTCAACAGCTGCATAATCTTCTGCACCCAAAAAATTGAGTTTCTCTTCGGCATTTTCACTAACACCTCAAAACCAGAAAATCCTAAAACTAAAACCCCACTGGAACACATCTATACCCCTAAAACCCCATTAGGTCATATCAGCTCTTGAATGGCTTCTTCTTCAGCAAACTCACTGCTCATCTGAAGCTCTTATCATCCCCAAGTACCCTTTATTATCTTCCCCTTCAAAGCATTCAAAGATATCCCTTTAATCCGATAATGTTTCTCCTCAAATCTCTCCTCCGAACCCAAACCTTCTGTACATTCGTCATATATTCCTCTGTCTTTCTTCCTCAATTTTCCACCAAACTCTTACTTTCTCATCTCCCAAAACCATTTTCCAAACAACCTAAGATGACAGCAGCCAAAAAGAGAAGAAACCACTCTGTTTTCTTCAAAGAAGCAGTAGGTTTGGATTCAAGAACGCAAGATAATGGACATGAAGGTGAAAACCACGAGCTAACTAAGAGGTTGATTGAATTAGAAAGAAAAGTGAGGGAGCTGAAGGAAGCAAAATTCTTTGGAAGAAAAACAAAGTTTTTAGTTGACGAACCCAGAACAGTTAAAGATGTCAGAGAAAATGAAGGATAGAAGAGCTTATTCTCACTGTTTGCTAGGAAAAGGAGAAAAAGTCGGGCGAATAGGAGGTGGAGACGAATAGGAGAGAGGAGGCAGAGAGGATTTCTCTAGAAACTTCCATCAGAGATGAGTTGTTTCTGAGCGTTGTGTGTAAAGAAGGGTACTTCAAGAAAGCTGATCTTTTGCGTGGATACTTCAAAGTATTCAAAAGTACCCCTTTAATCCAATAATGTTTACTCAAATCTCTCCTCGGAACCCGAACCTTCTGTAAATTCTTCATATATTCCTCTGTCTTTCTTCCTCAATTTTCCACCAAACTCTCACTTTCTCATCTCCCAAAACCATTTTCCAAACAACCTAAGATGACAGCAGCCAAAAAGAGAAGAAACCACTCTGTTTTCTTCAAAGAAGCAGTAGGATTGGATCCCAGAGCGCAAAATAATGGACATGAAGGTGAAAACCACGAGTTAACCAAGAGATTGAATTAGAAAGAAAAGTGAGGGAGCTGAAGGAAGCAAAATTCTTTGGAAGGAAAATAAAATAGTGGACGAGCTGAGGAAGCAAATTCTTTGGAAGGAAAACAAATATTTTAGTGGACAAACCCAGAGCAGTTGAAGATGTCAGAGAAAATGGAGGATAGCAAGAGCTTATTCTCACTGTTTGCTGGAAAAAGGAGGAAAAATCGGGAGAACAGGAGGAGAGAGGAGGCAGAGAGGATTCTCAAGGAGCTTCCATCGGAGATTGAGTTGTTTCTGAGAATTCTGTGTAAAGAAGGGTACTTCAAGAAAGCTGAGTTTTTTGCCTGGGAATCAGTTTGATAATGGGTGTTCCCATTGAGAAATCACAAAGTGAGACTTTGGATAACTAGTTTGTGCAGCCAAATCATCAAAATAAATGGTTCAAGCAAAATAGGAAAGCACCATTCTCTTTTAGTTGGTAGAAAGGCTGATTTGAAAAAAAATTTAAACTTTAGATTTCATTTGAACTAAAAAATATTGCAGGTGCTGATTCAAAAAAAGTCAAATAGTACAAGGGCTTCTTATATATTTTGGCTCATATATCTATATTGTAAAGTACCAACTATATTAGAGGGCAGAAGAAACA